GGAATTAATTTTCATTACAGCTAGCAGCTTTTACTCTTGGTATTTTTTTTGTTTGTTTGTTTTTTAAGCTGCTCTAAGAAACTGGTTCAAGTGGAATAAGTGTTTGCCCTCTCGTATCTTTGTGTACCGTGATGGTGTTGGAGATGGCCAGCTAAATACTCTGGTTAATTATGAAGTGCCTCAATTCCTGGATTGCTTGAAGAGCATTGGTTCTTTCTACAGGTAAATCTGTTTCCACCACCCCTCTTGTTTGTACTGCAAGAGAAATTAGCCCTGGGATACAAAACGAGGTTATGGATGAAGATTGTGTTGTCTTTCTATCCGTACTTACTTTTACTTGAGCTCAAATAACTGCCTTTCTGATGATTGTTTACATGATTTCAGACACCTGACATACATGTACTAAGAATTTTCCTATTACATTACACCACATGACTGCAATGCACATGTATGCACATACACTCCTTAGGCATACTTGATGGATGTGGTAATTAATGCTTTTTTCCAAAGCATTTCCAAAGGTTGATCATAGCCTGATGACTCTTACGTGGTAAGTCCATTTTTTTTTTTCTTTCCACTTCTGAAAGGACTATGTTGTCCAGTCATTTATATTCTGCACAGTTTTCAACGTTCTGCTTTTAACCTTATATAATGGCCAGTCTTCGGGAGCGAAGATTTGGGAAAGATCATAAACCCTTCGAGCCTGCACAGTGGATTTTTTAGGTGAGACACAGCGTGCGCTGAACTGAGCCCACCCTTTAATCCTGAGGTTCATCTGCCGGGGCCGAGCAAGCTTGGACAGTGGCAGTGAGGGTCTCAGGACGTAGGTTTGTTTAGAGTGACCTTCTCTTAGATGGATTGCCTCACAGGGCTGACGAGCTCCATCTGCCCGGGGGGCTGGGAATCGAACCTGGGTCGCAGCGGTGAAAGTGCTGCACCTTAACCACTAGACCACCAGGGGCCCCTTTTAGCTACGTCCTGAGACCCTCCTACGTCCTGAGACCCTCACTGCCACTGTCCAAGCTTGCTCGGCCCTGGCAGATGAACCTCAGGGTTAAAAAGGGTGGGCTCAGTTCAGCGCACGCTGGGTCCCACCTAAAAAAAAAAAATAAAAAAAAAAATAAATAATAAAAAAAAATCCACTGCGCAGGCTCAAAGGGTTAATGATCTTTCCCAAATCTTCGCTCGCGAAGACTGGCCATTATTATTTTAACCTTAACAGCAGTGACTTAACCTGCTCTGAAAAATGAACATGTTTCCTTACACTGCAGGCAAGTAGAGTCCGAAAGAAGTCGCAGCTCGGAGGAATTGAGGTGCTTATTTCTTCTCTTTAGCTTCTGTTAACAGCATTTTTAATAAAGAGCAAGCCATTAAGGCAGTGTTTTCTGTATGAAATGGTGGGGTAGAGAATAGAAATCTGATCTGTATTTAGATTATCTCTTTTTGGTCTGTTTTTCTGTCTCTCTATGAAGTTAAATGTAAATTGGATTGGTGAGAAATAGTATCAGAGTTGCATCTAAACTTAAAATTCAAATTTATGAAAACTGTCATTTAATCCAAATCAGTGAATTAATGAGGACTTATTTGTGGAATTAATGCCCTGGGGTCTAGAGAATCTGTTCCTGAAGTACTCATAGTGCAGTTTTTCACTATAGCTTTTGGGGTTTCTCCTTTATTTTAGTCCAAGACTTACTGTGATTGTTGTGAAGAAACGAGTGGGTGCCAGGTTCTTTGCAGAGGTTGGTGGAGGACTTAAAAACCCACCCCCTGGCACTGTTGTTGATACAGTGATTACCAGACCAGAGTGGTAAGTTACTGTAGAAGTAACACTTAGTCCTTTTGCTGGCAGCTTTATAGTAAAGGAAATATATTAATATACATTAAATGGGCTGTGGGATCAAGTAGAAAAATACTTTGCACAATTCTGTCCTTTTGGAAAGAGATCATAGTGAATTTGTAGATGAAAGAAATGGATAAGCTTACATTTTACAAATGTATTATGCAGTATTTCCTGGGTTTCAGTATGCACTGTTTGTATACATCAGAGTATTGCATACATTTCAAGTGCGTGTGCTTCACTTTTTAGTGTTCCTTGTTTTGATTGTTAAAGGTTTAGTTCCAAATGAGTGTGTAGTGACAGGATTGCCCAACTATCCTTAAAAAAGTGCAGCCCTTTCTGTAACAGACTTTGCTTTTCCTAAGGGTTTGCTTTTCCTGTTACAGGTATGATTTCTTTGTTGTGAGCCATACAGTGAAAAATGGTTGTGTCACCCCCACTCATTACAATGTCATTTATGATGGCAGCCAGCTGAAACCAGATCACTTGCAGAGGTTGACCTACAAACTCTGCCACATGTACTATAACTGGTCGGTAAGTGTTTCCTCTGGGAAATGATAATATTTTTCTTCAAAGATTGTACATTTCCGTGCAGTTACAACCCACAAAAAGGTGGGAACAAGTATCCTTAAAACACCCATGCAGATCCAAAAAGCCTGCAGGTGTGCCTTGGGACCTAGAGTGGTGTTTTGAGAACTAGATGCTTTATAATTCACCTGATCTCTCTGAAGATTAATCTTTATTCTCACTAGAAAATACTTGCTATTTTGAGTATTATTTCCAAATTCTGTGTCAAAAGCAAACTTGAAGTTACTGTTTCTTACCTGCAGAAATACTTTCTGCTTTATGTGGAGGTAGAATTATGTTCCTCCACTTCCCTTGAGGCTTCTGATGCACACCAAGATCAGCACACAGTCAGCTCGTGCCTGAGGTGTGCTTCAGATTTGTCAGTTTAACAATCCTAACTATTAGGCCTGACTTAACCCATGTCCCACCTTCTGCAAGACCCAGTATTGAATGTAAAAGGATTTTTTTGGAGTGGGGAGAGGAATGGAGTTGGGAAATCTGGGTTTTCTTGCATCTGTTCTTCTGTTATGTGTTCAGTGTATATAATGTTATTTTTCAGAAACCAGCATAAACAACAGGGAATATAAACTTTTCCATGTATGCACCTACTTTGGAATTCCAGGGGTGTCTGTTACAGTGAACACATGCTTATTGAAATTACTTGAAAATAATTGCCTCTCTTTTTTTCCCTTTCTGCAGGGTGTTATCAGAGTACCTGCTCCTTGCCAGTATGCTCATAAACTGGCTTTCCTTGTCGGTCAGAGCATTCACAGAGAACCAAATCTGTTGCTTTCAGACAGACTTTACTATCTTTGAAGTTGAGTTATCAGCCTTCTTCTCCAAGGAACACAGAATTGTCTAAGGTTTTGGTTTTTTAGTTTTGTTTTTTCTTAAAAGACATGAACATGGGATAATACATGTAGTTATGGAACTTATTTTTGGTTTTTTGTTTTTTGTTTTTTTTTTTTGGGAAGTCTTACCCAAAATTACTTCTAGCAAGTAAGAGAGAGTGTTATGCAGAACAAAATCCAAACTTTTTCAGCTAGTATGTTACTTTAATTTTCAAAATGCTTCAAAACTGTTGATTCCTTGTTTTTCTTGCCTGTTAAAATGAGGGCCAAATTTTGTGTCCTAAACTGTTTTATACCTTACAAAGAGGCTGTAAGATGTTCTTGGTTTAAGGCTGCCACTGGGGGAAGGATTTGCAAACCGACTAGAAACTGTCTGGAGTCTCCCTGGGAGCAGAGGGGAGTGAAGTGGGGCTTTTCCACACTGGCTCAGCTGAGGAGGAGGTGCTGTGGATGCCAGAGTTACACGACTGACTGACAAAGGCAAAATGATCTCTGTCCCATACCACAGCTGTTGGAGCACCTTTATTATCCAAGACTTCACTGTTCTCTCCACAAAAAGGGATGTACTTGGGTGCTGTTGGAGCAACTGTGAGACTTAGAATGGACTATCCTGTCGAAGTCCTTTCTCTTAGTCTTGTAACTTGATGTTCACTGTGCAGTTGTCTACAGCAGTTTCCTCCCACTGGCACACTGAAAGGAATTAAACTTCTGGACTGATACTATTTAACCACATGCTTGTTAAATGTGAATAATAACTTCCATCTGAGTGTCAGTGCACTGACCAGGTTCAGGGGGTTTTTTGTTTTTGTAGTTCCAAGCACTGGGCAGTGGCCTTGATTTGTTTTGCATGTCTGAGGTTTTCCCTGGTAACTGTTGAGCAGCAGCAGCTCAGTTTGTAAAGCAAAAAGCAGTTGTGTGGATGGAAGTAGATTTCAGAGTTTATACCAGAGTCAAAATAGCACACATGGAAAAATATGGATTAGTGCTGATTTTCCTAACCAAGTTGTTGTGAAGCTTGTTCCTGTTCTTTGTGAGATTTAAATAAACTTGTTGCTGTAATTCCTTGCTTGTTTGATTCTGTTTTATGTATTTGCTTATGTACTTCAACAGTGGGCTTTGGGCATAGGTGGGACAATTGCCACATAGCTTTGCAAGCATTTTTTGTCTCTGGAAAGCTCTTGCAGTCTTGCATGTAGATGAGCCTTTCTTTATTCTACAGTAAACTAACTGTTGACAATTCTGAAAAATGAGAATTCTATGGTATTCAGTTGAGGCTTTTTCCTTTCCTAGGCTGAGAGAACTCTGCCAACTTCTTCCACATGAAATTTGTAGTGAAGAGATGCAGAGGGTTTTTTTGGCAAATAGTTTTGTGTTTCTGATGTCACACAGTGGTAGCCTACTCTATCCACTACTTAGTATTTTGTATTTCTTGCTGGTTACATACCACTTATTTACTCCTGTCACAGATATTCATTCTGATCCATTTTTTTTTTTTTTTCATTTGAGGTCACTTGAGAAGGACCTTGTGCAGCTGCAAAAAGGTAGGAGATGGTCACTGGGGGCTGTTCTTTCTCCTCTTTGGTGCAGTGTTTGAAGGGGTGACTTGCACCATGGCCATGTGCTTGTCCTTGGCTCCCTGGGCACCTGGGATCTGACCAGGGGTGCCTGGGCCAGGAGGGAGGGAGAGAAGGCTGGCACAGCAACCAAGCAGCTGCTACAGTAGATTTATGAAACGTACTGCACTCTACAAAATATCAAATTATTTATTTATATAAAATATAATACACAACAATTGTACACATGCACACACCCACACAGTACTTTACCACAACTTTAGGCCAGTTATTTTCTTTAATTAAATGTTATAATCTAGCACACGGTATCTTACAGTAATTTACATTATTATCTGAAGACACAATGGGGAAGCTTTGATCATTCATTTATAAACCTTCCATAAATTACAAAAAGAAAGGCAGTCTGAAAAGTATGTATAAACAGTAAAAACAATTTACAAATGGACAAGAATTACAAAATAGTAACAGCCAATGACTGCCATCAGTGTGTAAGATTGTTTGTCTTGATATGCCAATATCACAATTAAGATTTAATTAGAGCCTCTTGCAGCCTCGTTACTGGCTGTGGCCTGTGACTGCAACACAGTTTGTCCTTTTTATTTTAAACATGTACTTTATCCTGAATCTGACATCAGCAATATGAAAATGCCTTTTAACTTAGAACTGTACCTCCACAGAAAAAAAGAAAATGGGGGAGTAAAGGGGTTTGGTGTGGAGTTGGTTTCTTTTTTGTTGTTTTTTTTTTTTTTAATTTTCCCAGTAGTTTAGAGCAGTAAACCAGGAACCCCAAAACTGGAGGTCGAATGGTTGAAATTCTGGGTGAGGTTCTGAATAACTTACACTGTATCTGATTTCAGTGGAGTGAAAATAAGTTGACAGAATAAACCAATACAAGGTTTTGGTTTTTGGAGGTGGGGGGGAAATAAAGAAGCAAAAACTAAAAAAAAAAAAAAAAAAAAAAAGCGTTTAGCACAGCACTTTCAAACTCCCAGGAGTTACATCAGACAGTGAATGGAGTCAGTAACATAGTACTTGATCTTAAATTACCATGTTTTAGGGAAGATGAAGACAGTTGAATACACAGTACATACAAAGTATACGCTGTATATTTATTAGACAGTACAAATCATTGTGCATTAATAAGGCAAAACATCAAGGCTGATTAAACTAGGAGTTTCAAGACCATTTTTGTTAGTGATTAGTTACAGTGGGGTGATCTCTCTGAACTAGGAATCAAGGAACAGAGTTTTCTCCCCACCACTCGTGGTTAAAGGAGGCTAAAAAGGCTGAGATTTTTCCAGTGGAGTTGCAGGTGTTGAGTTGACTTCAAATAAAACCACGTTCTTCTGCTCTTAAGCCCACAAAATTTTTTATTTTTTAAAAAAAAGTTTTTGCAACAACAAATCCACTTCCTTTTTTTTTTTTCTTGCTGTTTTGATTAAGCAATTCACATGATTCTATTGATGTCAGAGTTAAAAATGCAGAGAGGTTTGGTAAAGTTGTACTGCATAGTCATGAAAGCCCTAGTTTTGACTTTAGAAAAAAAAAAAAAATTAAAGAAAAAAAAATTAAAATACACAGACTGGAAGCTTTTACAAGTTGTCCAGGAGCAGCACATGAATCATTTCACTGCACCAAGCTTTTTCAGCAGTTTCTTGCCTTTGGAAAGCAGCCCCTTTTTCTTTTTCGAGGACATATCCCTGCCTCTCCCGGGACTACCAGAACCCATAGGTGACGGAGGTGACCCGGAATGGAGATGAACTGTGGGGGATGGTGCTCTCCGGGATGTACCTGTATTCTCAGGAGGAACCTATTAGGTACATTGTTATAATTTATTGAATGTTTGAAAGCTTCAAAGCTGTCAGCATCAAGAAAGTTTGGTAACATCACTTTGTCCCATTACCCACTTTTTAAGCAAAAGGGCTGGTTCCTTTCTTCTCTCTGGCTTAAAATACTGCTCGGGCTTATGGCAAATGCATAAATTTAGAGGGGGGGGAAAAATTGTAGAACAAGAGCCCTGGTTTGGTTATACTTTTTTAAAGGAAAAGTTGGATACACTTGTTTTGCCAGAATTCTGGCCACAAAAGCCACAAAACTGGCTTGGGTTTTGCATTTCAGTACTCTGATAGTACTGAAATGGAGAGGGATACTTTTAGCTATAGATTTAAGAAAAATAAACGTGTTAATTACTACAGATTAGCAATCTATAGAAGCCAAACTCTTTTCAGAAGAAATTACTTAAAATGCTACGTGTTCACTTACGTTTTAATGTTCTTTAAATGCCTTTTCTTTAAAATTGGCTAGCAAACTTTATGTACAGATTAGAGAAGATGGCACACTGGCTTAAAAAAAAAAAAAAAAAAAAAAAAAAAAAGAAAAAGCTAAAATGAACCTTAATTGCAATCAAAGAAAGCTTAAAGACCCTGACTGCTTGATGTATATGCTGCAGCCATGAGGTTGTTAGATGACAGCATTCCTAAATATTTTGAGCAGCTAATTTTTTTTTTCAATCATCAAAAGCACTTGGATGAAAATGCTAAAATTGCTTATACTCAGCCTATCCTAACTACAGTGCCCAGCTGGCAAGATGGGTTACTATCAATTAAGATGATATTTTCATAGTAGAATCCATGCTGGAGGGAGTCCTGTTAGCTTGGAGTTAAAACATCAGCAATTTACTGGCTTGTTGTGCAACAGTGAGTTAAGCAAAGGGGCTTCAAGCCGACTTTGATTTTAAATCAAGGTCTAATTCTAATGAAAAAAAAAAAACAAAACAAAACCAAAACAACTTGGTAAAGCACCCCAACGTACACCTGAAGATACCATATATTGAGTCTAATGCATTCATTCAGTGAGCTGCATGTTTCAGGTCGAGACTTTTATTGCATTGGTAAACCAAACAGTTGCTAACATTTCAAATGACCACTTTCTAGGACAAAAAGCCCAGTCAATTGTACCGTGGGAAGGGATCGTTTTCGGGAGCGTTGAATGGTTGGTCTTAGGCAGGCTGGGGTATAATCGATTATGGAAAACACATCTTAAGGCAGACAATTTAAGTAGCTCAGTCTGAGTGTAATGAGTTTCAAAACCAACTATACCCTTGTAAACTACCGTGTGCATCAGCTTAGGCTGCACTTGGATGTTCTGTAAGGGTTGGAGCTGTTGTGCTTTTCTCTTGTCACAGGAGCTTGGAATTTTTACCTCCCAGGTTGGCTAACAATGCAATATGCAGCTTTGTTTGTAGGGTAGTTAGACATCAAACTCTCCTTTCTATGTAAACATAAACATTGAGCTCGTGAAGAAATATGTTCCAAACGCTGACCTTCATAAAGTGAGGTCTAATTGACTTCCAAGGATTCCTTTTTAAAGGATTTGTCTCCTAAAAAAACCTCAATTGACTCGCCTAGATTCAGCAGAAGCGTACAAGCCTGCTCTTCCGTGGCCAAGGCTTTTGGAGACATATTTCTTTCCTTTTCCCCCACAATTAAGTTTCAAGACTTGCATTAGATAGCCAGGTAGCTTTAATTGAAATCTCTATTGGTATCTTCAGTTGCTCACTTACGTGAAGGCTACATTGCCTTATTAAGGTGTGAAATGAACACTCTTCTTCTGTTTCCAAGCAGATGAGCAAAGAAATAAAAATATATATAAAATATATAATATATAAAAGTATTGCAGTGATGAAACAAAACCAAAAATGAGATACTCTAAACATGGTTAATCTTTCATAAAAGAGAAGTCTCTGAGCAATTAACTAATGCCAGTTGGAACAGGAAGTCATAAGGATTAAAAGACGAGCACTGTCAGTCAATCAGCTGCAGTTACAGTTTGTATTTAGAGGAACACTGGTACCAATCTTTTGTCCACGAGAGCTTTTTGTAGTAAGAGCAGTTTGGAAGCTTTAGGAAGTAACTATCACCAGAGAAGAACTGCTTAAATTCGAATTATAATGGAAGGTACTGTACTGACTGCAGTCAAACAGTCAATTTAGTTTCTCCATTTACAAATGTAACGAGCCAGCGAAGGCTAAAGTCGCTTTTCCTTACGTTTTATTCTATATATTTGAGAGAGTTAATTTTAAATGGGCGGATGAATTTAAGGTGTTAAAAGTGACGTCTAAATTACGTATGAGACAGGATGGAATGGGAAATAAAAGAATTTAAGTTTTTCTTATTCGGTTGCTTACCCTTTTTGCTTTTGAACGCGTCGGTGTGTCGTGAACGTAGCGCGAGGGTGCATCGGATAGAAAGACTTCAACATCATCAGGCACTTCTTCAAGAAAGTTGGAAGGAACCAGGCCCTTTTGTCCATTAAGTTCACCCTGCAACACCGTGAAATGTTTTAATTAAAGCAAGTGTAGGTTCCCAGGAAGGGAAGGAAATACTTTTGCCTGTCGCAAAGCTGGTGAGGAAGAGGAAATGCCCATCTAAGGTCAGTGGGACATGACCTGCACCCCCCTCCCCTGGGCTGTCATTTGGTGCTGGTGAAGGTGCCCTAGCAGGTTGGAGCAATCTGAAGTGAGCAAGCAGGAGCCAACTTACATAGTAAAATCCATCTTCATCAATCTCACCAAAGACAGTGATAATGTCCCCAGTGCAGAATGTCAGCTCGGCCTGCAGGAAAGGGACAGGGTGTTAGGCAAAGATTATCTTTTATCAACAGTAAATCCACTAATATTCCCCCCCTCCTTTATGTTGACACATTTGGTGAAACCAAATTGATCTTTGAGAGCAAAGCCTTTTTTTTTTTTTTTTTTTTTTAAATGTATTGGATTTTTTCCCTTAGCTTGCTAAGCCTGGCACCTCTCCCACTGGGCTCTGAACACCCCCAGGACTCCCTGTGGCCAACAAGCCAAGACACTCAGGCCTTGAACAACCTGAACAAACTGTGAAGCTTTGAACTACACGACTTCAAAGGTCCCTTCCCTCAGTCCTTGTGGGAGGAGGGAACAAGACACCGGGGTGGGATGTGGCTCAGGTCCCTGCTCTGTGCTGAGCTGAGCACCAGGACTAAGGGGCACAGGAACAGCTGAGGGAGCTGCTTTTCACAGAATCACAAGATCAGGGTTGGAAGGGAGCTCTGGAGACCATCCAGTCCAACCCCCTGAAGCACAGCATTCCTGCAGTGGAGCTGAACTGGATTCTCTTCAATAAAGGCTTTGTAACGGGCAGCTCCACCCTCTGATCAGCAAACAGAGAGTGCACTGGGCTCTTTTTAATTGCCTGTGGCTTAAATGCAATGTTACAAGGGGGTGGGGGGTTAATTAATTTCCTGTGGTCATGGGAGACAGAACAAACAAAATGTTTGCAATATATCGGCACAATTTCTTTGATTTGTTGGCCAAATTACTTTGAAACACCGTAATTTAGAAACAGATTTGGTTCAGCAGGAAACAGGAAACAACCCTGGCTGTGTTTTAAAGCACCAAGACCCACATACTTCAAAATTCACCTTCTGCCTAAAAAAATTCCAAACAATTCACCAATTAAAAAAAAAAATCCAAACAACATTTTAAAGGATAACTGAGGAAGCTCCCAGATATGCAGTGGTTTTTAGAGCTTTCAGTGTACCCTGACATTCTTACCACAGTGCAGACAGAAATGGAACCTGCACCAAACCTGGACTAAGGGGCTTGCCATGTAACACCAAAGACACGTAAAAAGTGACTCTTGTTGCTGGTCACAGTTATGGAGAAATGGGAGACTGCAAGTGGGTACATGGAAGATAAACCTATAATGAAGATGTAATTGATGCTCAGCTGGTTTTAAATGAAGATGTGGCCAGTGCTCAGCTGTTTAAGATATCCTTAAATTATTATAACAAAAAAAGAGATAGTCAAGACATACATTCATGAAAGCTCAGATGCATCAATTAAGAGAAAAATGCAATATACTATGAATGCTGTTCCCATGGGCTGTATCCTTCTGGCTTAGGTTGTGAGGGAAGGTGGATTTTTGGAGGTTACAGAGATTTGAAAGCACTCAGGACTATCAGCTTGTTAGAGTGAGCTGGGGTACTTCTGAAAAATAATCGTGGTCTTGGGTGCAAAGGAAATTGGAAAATAAAAATTCCCTACAATTTATAACTGCTTTTTTCCTTATAGACTTATGTTATATTTGCAGGTACACACACATATGGCATAACATCCATATCCATAGCCAACTTTAGAATGTACTGAGCTGTATTAAATAAAACCTACAGAGGATATTCCTTGATTTTGTTTGGACAAGAACCGTAAATCTACTTGTACAGAAGCCATAAGCTTTGTCATACACATCTGCTCCAAACCATTTGGCTTGTGTTTGTAATCCTGAACTATTTCTTTGCACACCCACCCCAAATGGAGAGCAGTGCCCACCAGTCCTGACCATGCTGGGTGCCCACAGCACCCGGTTCCGGCCGTACCTCTACATCCACATTAGGAGAACTTTCTCTTGGATCATAATCATACAGTGCCACCATCCTTCTTGTAGTCACTGGCTGTTGTCTGCCACTCCTTCTGCTTCTCTCTGCTCCAGTCACAGGGGGAGGAAGGTGAGGAAAAGCTATCAAAGTTATTTTGAAAATAACCCCACGATGCACCTTCCCCTCCCGGCCTTTTCCCGGCAGTGCGGCAGCAACGTGGGTGTTTCTCCAGCACAGTGATAAAAAGTCACAGATTACCAAACCTAATAGCACAGATAAAGGATGTGAAACCACGTGGGCTTCATAAATAATATTTATTTATGAATAAATATTATTCATTATTGTTCATTAAATATTATTAGTGGCCATCTATTGTAAGCCACTGAATCCTCTGAACAGTTTTAGTTGCAAAATTAAAGCTCTGCAATTTTCATCCGTTCTTGGTTGTAAGAATCAAAGGTTACCAGGGTGTGCAAGGCCAAACAGGCAAAATTCAGGTTTGTTGCATTTTATTCAAACTTTTACTGTCTATTCCCTTCCCCTCTCCTAATCACAAGGAATGTCGTGCCTGGGATTATTCTTCAGCTTTCTGCTGGGAGGAAAGAAATGCATACAAATAAAAAAAAGATATAAAGCCATTCAAAATTCTGCTTTTAAGGATTTAATATGCTTTTTGGCAACCACTTCTACAGTTCACTTCTAAACAGGACTGAACCAATTCCAGCCCTCTGTACTCTCTGAATCGTGCTGGAAATTTTAAAACATATTGAGAGAGTTGTATGATATTTATTTTGAGAAAGAAATCTAAGTTACTTGCATTGTGTATCTGTGTGCAACATTGAACCAATGATTCATAGCACAGAATTGTTTAGCCAAACTCTGCTTTTTAAAGGGTTTGTCACTGCAATATCCATAAAAATCCCTTAATATGTAATGCTGTTCCAAATGTGATCACACATAACCCTTTGCCACCATCCCTTTAAATTATTGCTAAAATAGGAATATGCAGAAGAGTAAAAATAATAAATAAGTAATTCTTTTTATACTTTGCAGGAGTGAGTGTATCATGAAGCACCTCAGCACAGCACACTCCAAATCTCAGGGATTGTGTTCTGAGTCCAGAAATCTTTCAAGTGACAAAACCCTTTTTTTTTTTTTTTTAAATAAGAAAAGAAACTAACAGGTCGAGTGGTGAAGTTACAAATCTCCATCTGCAGCAAAAGATATCAGCAAGATTAAGTATCAGTTGTATAAAGTCATCCAGATACCAACACAGAATATATTCCATGGGGTAGCAAATGGCTGGAAAATTTAGATGGATCTGCATACTGTGGAAACAAGAGGTACAGCAGATCCAGCCAAGTTAAGAGCACCCAAAAGTCAGGAAAAGTGAAATGTTTATATTTTCCCTTACCAATTTTCTCAATTGGTGTGTTCAGAGGAAGAAAACCTTGTTTAAGAAGCTGATCCATCATCTCTTCATCGTCTGCTTGGATCTCAGAGACCATGTTACACGGGATAAGGCCAATTCTTGCACAGGTTTCTCCACGATAAAATCCATCGGCATCTTTGTCCCCATAAACCTGTTATTCAGAGAGTGACAACATTGGTCAGCAAAGGTTTTAGCATTTAGGAATTTTAATGCAGGCTAAGTGGTTATCAAAGCAGAGATGATGACTGCAGTTTGCATGGGGAACTATATTATTTTTTGACTACTCTGACTTAGGTTATAAAACTGGAATTGTGACATTTATTTGAATTATAACTCCAGACACATAATTTACAGAATTTGAACTTTTTTTTGTCAGCAGTGAAATGCACAAAATGTGCCTTACAAGTCATCAGACTCTCCCTGTGCTGAGCCAGAAGTTTACTTGATGGTTTACATTGATGTTTATGGAATTATTCTGGAATTATATTCAAAATGAAACGCTTGCAAAAATTGTGCCAAAATGTTGTTTTGATTCAAACAACTTTTATATGATCCAAAATGCCCATCTAATACATAATGTACTTGATATATGTACTTAAGCTTTGCTTTGTCTTTAGAGAAAACATGATATAAAAATAGCATGGATGTCCTCAGTGAGAACATATAAATCCAAAATTTCTCTGCAGGGCTAAAAATGCAGTCAAATCATAAAGGCTATTTATGATACAAAGGCCTAGATCTAGGACTGTGCTAAACAAAAATTATGTTCCTAAAGTCAAACTGATGACTGAGTTCCACTCAAATCTGAGCTCATTAAAACTGACTGATTGCCTCAACTTCTAGCACAGGAATATTTTTCAGCTTTAATCCCTACCTGTCCCTGAGTCACCTGGCCCCACTCCTGCACACAGGACAGAAGATGAGACTGTAGCACGTGTACAGGTTTCCTACAGCTCTTGGAACTGACCCTCCACCACCCCACTGCTCAGGGAATGTACCAGAAACATTTTGGAAATGGAAACCAATCCATCCTCACAACAGTTCGATAAGAAATTCAAAGCAGCAGTTCACAGAGCAGTCACCATGGTCACCAAATATAAAATAAACATCACTGACAGTAAATATCTGATGTGGGGTCTCACTAGACTTTTCAGTGCCAAACAGGTAAATATTTGTGAAGAAATAATTACAATATCTCAGTGAAATGCACAGCCTTGCAAAGGAAAATAAGCTCTTAACAAGATCAGTTTTTTTGGCACAAACCTTATATCATGGGGAGAGGTAAGCAAAATACAGAACAGAGTATTCAATGTTACAAAAATTGTGATTTAGAGTACAAACATTTTTGTTAAGACTCAACATAGTGGAAGGGAGCCAGGATTTTATTAGCTTAAGATAGAATTTAATCTCTGAAATGGGTAATATTCAAATGAGTCTGTTTTTTTCAGGTTCTCTTTCAGATCACACTTAAACCTCAATCACCCTTGGACTACCAGCAGCTGCTCCTTCTGCCTCTCTCATTTCTGCCTGTTTTGCTGCAGATCAAACGGATGCAAGGCTGCAGGAGGAAACACTTACTTCTGCTGATTCCACAGAAATATCTGCTGGCTTTTTAAAACCAGATCAGCAAGCTGAACAAGTTTGCCTTGCAGCTGCACTGTCAGAAGATGAGACGAGCTGGGATGGAGGGCTGGGAAAAAACACTTGCAGAGCCCAACCCCTGACAGAGCCAATTTGTCCTCTGTGCCCTGTTTAAAGGCAGTGTGTGTATTTTACACCAAACTGACAGAAGAGGGAACAGAAATACATGACTTCTGGACTTGGAATCAGTCTAAATTGTTTATTATCTGGGAGTGCCCAGCATTTAAAAAATACAGCAGCTTTGCTTTGTATGAAGGCACAACACTCAGTGTTCCAGGGGGACCTTTGCAGCTCCTCTCTGGAGCAGTTTCTTCTGCAGGGTTTGAGGCAATGGACACAGGGAGCTTCAGTCACAATTATAGTCTTCACACTAAATCTCTAATTAAGTCTGGCCCTAACTATCTACAGAAACTTTGAGATTTTTGTCCACCCTGTAATTATTTTTAAGCCATTAGTACTAGATTCCAGATCCAGTGAGATTTACAGCCTCTGAACCACTGGAGGGAAAAAAACCCTTGGATTCCAGTCACACAAGGGACAAAGGAGACCCTGTTTGCAAAACTGGGTCCTTCATTTCCCTTGTTTTCAGATCTCACCTTTATGATCTGTCCTTCTTTAAAGGGCAGCTCTTCCTCTGCGGCGTCAGGATTTGGGGACATCGTCAGTGGATCGTAGTCAAAGAGTGCAACAAATATTCGAGTAGAAATATCTTCTGTGCCAGGATCTGTTTCGGATTCTTCATAAAGATCTGGAGAAAGATGGTCATGACCACCGTAGCCATCTGGGAAATTAAAGTCAGAAAAGAACAATTCAGTAACGCAAGTTGGCCCCATCTTTCGACTATTCCAGTTAACATTTGAAACATGTTTGGCATTTCAGGGAAAAAAAAATCCCCAAACCTCAATGCACGTCCTATAAAGCTTGGTGGGTTGGTCTTTTTTTTTTTTTTTTTAATTAGCAAGCTGGTACTTCTTTAAAAAGCATAGAAAATCTGCATGCACTGAAAGTGGTGTTATCTCCTACCCCACACTGACATTTACACTTGTGGATACAGCTCAGGTAGGAAAGCCATTTTTGTCAGATTTACTAGAGTGTGCTATAAATTAATGGAGCATGTTAGGAGTGACATAACGATGAGTCTGACAGGCTTTTTCATTCCTGAAAAAATAACCATGCTTTGGATCCACTTGTTTTCCAGCACAGCTGTCTCTGCTCTTCATGGACACAAGAAAGCACATCCCAGCTGTGTTGACAAACCGTGTTTTAGATACCAGGTTAAAAATAAAACATGGTTATAACCTCTCCAGACAGGGAAGAAGGGAGGTATTTCAGCAGTGTTAGTCCTGCCACTGTTGGAACTACACTCTCTATGATTTTGTTGTAACACTGTCAATAGTTAACATAGTGCCCAAACCAACCCAAACCACTAACAAATGTGTTAAAATCCAGGAGAAATGATGATTGCATTTAACTATAATCTCATTAGGAAAGACTATCCTTGAATATCCCAACACTTGACACTGCACTGAACTCTGTCCACTGTAGGGTAACAGGTAAATTAGGACATTAAAAATGAGAATGAACATTTTGTCTCATATACCTTTCAAACTTTTCAAATGACCTGGAGAATGTGTTTAGTCCATGATTTGCCAACATACTTAAGGATGGACTTCAGAAAACCAGATTGGAAGATTAGGTCAAAGTGGCTAACAGTGACTGTTCTGACTGATGGGTTTAAAAGGCTTTTAATTTTGGGTTGAAAGAGGATGTGGCAGCACTTTCCCAAATAGTCTCTTTCAAGACACATGAACTTGAAGTCCCAAAAATTAAAGCCCTCAAAATCACAAGCCACTTGTGAATATCTTGGCTTATTGAAAAGTCCCTCTGGCTTCACTGGGAGTCACATACTTTTGTTCTTTTCTGAATCAACATTTATCATCCAGTTTACAAGATCCTTCACAATGAATAAATTGAGAAAGTGATATTATGAATTATGATGAAAATGTAGTTCAACTGTATCAATTTTTTTCCAATTTTCATGTTAATAAAATTTTTACTGTAATCACCTCTCGCAAGTTAAAGACTCACAGTTTTTTTTAACAGTTTGAGCATTCCATATGAAACATTTTAGATAAATGCTTTTTACCTTTTTCCCTCTTTTGCCTCTACATCATGCATTTTATTCAACATTTGCTAATTGTAAACTACCAGAAAAAACGTTCAGAGGGTCACAGCTTTCAGGGAACATCTCCTAACTCGTGGGTCCAGAGCTCAAGAAAGAATGTAAGGATAAAATGCAGAAAAGCAAAAGGGCAGGGAAAAATTCCAGCCAAGAAGCTTTAGGCAGGCACAAAGCACAGAGAGGAAGTTTGGAAAAAGGGCACATGGGACAGAAAGCAATGAGACACAAAGGATGGGATCCTTCTCTGTTCTGTTCTCCTCACCCTGTCAGGTTGCAGCCATTCTGAGGCTGATACCCAGGCCCATCAGGCGGGTTAAGGGGTGTTCTGTTTTGTTTTTTAAATTAAAAAAATATCAATTTTTGCATCCAACTCCAACAGCACTTAATGAAGGTAAGGTGGAAACATGAATCACAGCCAAATGTATCTCTGTTAAAAGCACTGGCCTGTGCCAGAACATCAGAATACTCATGTTTGCTTCAGTGAAACAGAAAGCAAATAATCTCTTGATTAGCTCATTAGCCACTTATCAAGAGGTACAAATGCATGTCACACACACACATATCACTGTGCATGTACAATCCTGTCTCTGGATGCACCCAGCCAAATTCCTGACTGGTGCACAGTGGCAACCAGAGCTGCCCTGAATTCACTCGATCGACTCTGATACACCCGGGCTGCTGTTCTGGCTGTGTCAGTCTGAGAGGTCTGCTTGGAAACTCAGCATTTAATTACAATTTACCTAAACTTTCAGAGCCTCTTCTGTTTCATTTCAGATATCAGCAAAACCTGAGTGTGTTTCTTAGCTCTCTGCATGGCTCGGGCTGCTCTTGTGGGTTCAGTGTCACACACTTCAATTCCCTGTCTGATGAACTGTGAGAACTGAGTTGTTGATCAGGTAATGATTTCTATGTTGATGAAGCAACAAATACTATCAGTAGTGGGTAAAACTGCCTTACTTATGCAGTGCAGTAGAACACAAAGAATAATCTTTCTCCTCATCAGGTGACACAGCCAAAGTCCTGTGTGGCCACTGAAAAGACCCCCAGTCTTCGTTCAGCCTGCCAATAATGGCTGGTAATTGCAGAACACTGGGTTGTGACACACCAGTGCTGTTTGTGCCTGTCCATCTGCCTGGAGCCAGTGGGGATGTTTGGATGGATGGTGGTTCAGCTGTGTACAGTAACTGGCTGGCATTGGGAGCAGCAGAGCTTCACAGAGTTCATGCAATGCTCGGACTCGGTCGAGTATGGAGAGGGGGCTGTGCAGCGGGACAGAGCCCTCGGGGCCGTTTGCCCCTTGCAGCTGAGCTGGAGGAACTTACCTGAGGGCACCCAGGACTCAGAGCCAGTCCCCCTGGCATCCTGCATTGCATGCAAGGGTGTCACACATGGTTAACACGCAGCTCTAAACCGTGCCTGGCACAAAGGAGGAAGAATGGTGGGCGTACCGTGTCCATAGTGAGGGGCCATGGGACGCCGCGGGGGCCACTGCTTGTGTCCAATGCTGCCATAATAAGCTTCTTCTTTTACAGGTGAAATATTTCCCTCACTACCTGACCGAGACCGAGCGCCTTCACTGTTACTGTCCATTGTAATTTCTACGGAGAAAAAGGGAATGATCTATTAAAACAGATTGTAGAGTTGCCTCAGCGGAGGCTCCTGCTGGCAGGCTGGGCCTGCCTTGTTTTCTCGCTTCCTAAACACTGCACAAGCTTTGCCAGGTGTCTCAGCCTCTAGAAATCCTCTTCAGTGTGTGGGGGGGACTGTCACAGAAATATGAATCTGGATTTTGTGCTTTTTAAAATTCATACAGTGTAAATATTGTTCGTTAGGTCTTTGGAGAGGAATTGTCTTTTATTATGAGGTTTAAGCAACAATCCTAAATACAATCCTACCTGCCAGATCTGCAAGGTCAAGGGCATTGTAAACTCTGTTTCACCTTCTAAAGTATCAACCTAAAAACAAAAATTAATTAATTCACTTAAATCCTACCTGCAAGAGGATACTAGTCTAAAAAATTTATAGCTTTGTGGAGAAAACACCTCAAAGAACTTAAATTATGGAACATTTTGGAGAGAGATTTTGCTATTGGAATCCTAAGAACATTACAATCTTGAAAGTCTTTCCTACTTCTCCCAGAACTGCCTTAAGAACTCTCCATCACATAAGTGACACTTTAGCTAAATAATTCAGTAAAAACCCCAGAGTCCATATTTTTGAGCTATAGCTGAGGCCAACAAGTTTCAGGTATTTAAGAAGCCTAAACTTTGGCTCAATCATATTTACTCTCTTCTTTTATTTTACTCTGCTTTTCATTTTATGGGACTCCATATTACAATGTCACAGCCTTAGCAACTTCCTTCTTCAAAACCACCCTTGCAGCCCTTACTCTTGGGAAATGTTCTCTGTCACTGGGAGATCTGAACAGTGGGTTCAATTTATGCAGTGATTTACTATATGCTTTTGGATGCTCTACTTTTACTACATTTTATTTATCTGAGCTCTCAATATTTTTCATATCTTCTAGATTTTTTTTTTCCTAGCAGGTTTACAAGAAGGAACTCTCATGCAGTTTTATCAAGTGTTTAAACTTGCTTCAGTTCTCCTCAAAGTGGTATTTTCCAGTATGATGCTGAAAGGGAGAAATATTGCATGCTTACCTTTCAGCAACTTTCATCATTAGTCTTGTAGTCAGAAATTAGGACTCGAACTCTAAACCACATAAGGTCTTCCAACAGTTTCACAGCAAATAATATTTTTTTTATATATTGTACATAATGCTCAATAGTTTCTTGTTACCAGCAAGAGACAATATTGTCATTTATTTCTAATGGAATTTTCCCAAATGGCATTTGTGGATTGTAAATAATACAAACCACAATAATTAATGCTTTAAGTTACACTGAATGAAACGAAATCTGAGTTATTATTTTCTATTTAATTATCTCCTTGAGCACAGACTATCAGAAATTAATTTCTTTATCAGATTCCTAAGCTGTTGCTATTAAACTGCTAAACAGCAAAGTCATTGCTTAGTGGTTTCTGTGTCCTAACCTTGTTTACAGAAAGTGAGCTCTGATAAATTTAATCACTTCCCTTATTTTTTAATTAAAATGAAAATTAAAAGGAAACCCAAAGGATTCAGTCACACAAACTTCTCTACTGTCTTGCTATTAAAAATGGGGGGGTTTAGCAGATAATAGAAAAGAACTTCTATACAAAACTTGCTTTAAGTAGGCCAAAGGTAAACCAGGAATCTTTGCTCCTGTGAAATCAAGGCTGCTTTCAGAGGGAAAGAAAGAGGACATGAAAATCTAACATTCATCACAGCATCATCCAAAAGCTGTTTGGTTCAGCTCACAATAACCTGTCAGGAGAAGCACAAGAGCCTCCCTGGGCCTGATTCTCCTCCATGCCGTTTTTATTCCAGTGTAATTCCATTGACATCTGTGAAGCTAATCCTGGTTTGCACCAGGAATTGGGATGAGAATCAGCCTCTGACCAGCCACACAACACTGAGGAGACTGAGTAAGTTTTGTGCATTTTGCAGCTGTGTCTGTTTTCTGATCTATGGCTTCAATCACAGTAGTTAATATCCACTAGATATCCAAAGAAATATGCCCACTAGGAGGATTTTGCTTTTAATTTACAGTACAGGAATTTTAGTGTGATTTTATTACAAGGGAAAAAAAAATTAATACTTAAAAATAAAAGCATTCCTTAACAATCAGTCTCCTTCCTTTTGACAATCCCCATTTGTTACATCAATTATTCCCACACAAGTCAGTGAGAATTGCCTGACACTGCTTCCTTCTCCTCATCATGGTGCCTACAATATTCACAAATTAAAGTCCAGATTAGGGACAGGAAACAGATAAACTTTCCATCTTCATGGAGTAAAGTTCTGTGAATAACTCACAGAACTCTTCCTGCATTTGTTTTGCATGTGTATCCTGATTTTCAGTGTGAATGTTTCTCCTTTTTCAGTTTAGAGTGCAAGTTTTAACAGATACATATTTGTCCACAGTGTCTCGATTCCATTATCTTTTCCCCACTACTTTTTGGATTTTCTGGTGTTCACCAGCATATAGATTAAGTCATAATTAAACCAGAATAGAGATGACTCTGTAAGAAACACCAAATCTAGTAAATATATACAAGTTCTACAAATTTGTTGCATTTAACAGCTTCCATTTTCCCCATTAAATTCCAAAAAGTAGTCAAGACAATGGAAAGTGAATGCAAAATGATGGTTGATGAATGGAAGGATGGATGGGTGAATGGATGGGTGAATGGCTGCATTTATTTAGTATATTATAGTAACCTGCCAGCAAATTTCTTCTTAGGTAAAATCTAACATTATCTAAGCTTAACCAAGCTTAAAAAAGCTCCAATACCCACTAAATTTAATAAAAAGACTCCCAGGGATGTCAACGACTACTAATTCAACCCCCTGTGAGGCCCCAGTGCACTCATTTACGTGGAGATGTTTTTAGTCCCACTTCACCCCATTTAAATTGGGAGTAGCCTGGTTCAAGACAAATATCCATTGTTTCAGTTTTTTTAAGGATTGCTTCCCAACTCTGAGGCTGCAAAGAACAGAAATGCACCAATCTGTCCAACTAACCAATGGAAGGGACCAACATTGGCCGAGACCTTTGTGGCACTGCACTGCCATGAGAGGACCTTCGTCCTGCATGTTCCACCCTTTCAGGCCGTCCGGCAGATGCTGGATTACCTAAAAGCTAAAAAACAAAACAAAAACAAAAACAAAAACAACAACAGAAAAAACAGGTTTGTAAGTTCCATGCATGGTAACATCGTGATCATATGGCTGGACATTAATCAGAGGTCAATCACATTTGGAAGCATAAGCTCTAAAGGCAACTAAACTTAGTTTTTAACTGAAAGGTTAGCTGAAAACTAAATACTGTTGCCTGGCAAACCTGCAAAAGGAAAAAAAATGGTTCCCTGATTTATGGCAGAGTTTTGTAACCAGCAGTCGCACATTAGAACAAAAAGAAAAGAAAAGAATAACTTTTGAAATATTCTTTTGCCTTTGTTGTTGCCGCTAAGGTGACGTTTTAACCTCCTGGAGAGTAGTACAAGCAGTTGTGGGCTGTGGAGATTGGACTGCACTGCAAAAGCCTCGCTTGTGTCCAGCTCTAGAGCTTCCTCCAGTCTGCAGCATGGGAAGCAGTGTAGGTCCTTCTGGCTTTGAGCACACTGTGTTTCTAGAGTGGCCTTCGGCTGCCAAAGCCTTCTAAAGCTCAGTGAAACCTGTAGACAGCAATGCAGACACACTTCCTCTCACTTCACAGCTGGCTCTGGTCACTACCCTCGCAGGAAACACTATTTATTTAACCAAATGCTACTATTTTAATGCTCTCCAGAGTTTATCGTGCAGCCATCAAGATTAACACAGCTTGGTCACCAATTTTGATGGGAGGAATTTGTAAGGATCGTGTCAGCATGAACTGCTGAGGCTGGAAGAGCAGGCAGCTGATCTCTGCTCTTACGTGAGGTGCATTAGAATGGAGGTTTCCACCTTGGACTGTTGCAGGCTGAGAGAGGGTAAAGAACTTGCTTTGGTCTTTAGGGAGCAGGGAAGCCTCTGGATGCATCTATCACCCGTGGAGACTCTTCTACAGATTAATGGACAGAAATGCAAATAGGCAAGATCACGCAGAGGCATCCTTGAAAGATATGGGATGGCCCTGGCCTCTCCCTCTGGAAGAAGCTGTCTGCCTGCATCCTCACCAGAGATGCAGTCTGCAACTTCAAAGGCAAGAAGAGATGGTCTAAAAAGGACGGCAAAGTGGTGACAGTGCAGAGATATAAGGCAGCAAATGAAAATATGATGAAGCTGTGACTCCATAAATCTGGGTCACTGTCACACTGGGGGAGAATCTTGGTTCTTGTCCAGAGATGTTCCATGATAAAGAGCATATCCTGAAAATTCTGGGAATGGGATGAATAAAAACAACACAATGAAATGAATTCCTTGACAGTAATAATAACAAAAAAAGTAAAAAAAAAAAAATTACTGATGAAATATTTTCCAGTTAGAATGCAGCTTTTTTTTTTTTTTTTTTTTAAGCAACATTCAGATGGGCAAAGTAAAGAAAAACAATCTTTTGGGAAAAATTGTAGTTCAGCTAACCCTTAATTAAAATTTAGATTCAGTTGTCCTTTAATAAAAGCAGCCATTATTGTAATTTGGTTTGTGGGAAAAATCATTGTAAAGCAAATTAATCTGATTTCAGCATGACACAAAAGAGGACTATAAAGGAAAATGCATAATAATAAAAAAAAAAAATGAATGGGGAGGAAAGAAAAAAAGGGGAAAATGTAGCAGATGGGTCCAAAGATGGGTCTCTAAAAATTAATTCAGGGAAAAAAAGAAAGAACAAAAAAGAACAAAAATTAGTAAACTAAAGAAAACAGACTGATTTGGCAAGCAGATGTTAGAAGGAAGATTTACTTCACACACCAGAGAGTCTTCTGCATCTCTGTGGGATGGCTTTGCAAGTGGCCCAGCTGCCCTAGAGTCAGCCAGCTTAAAGTCGGTCTTCCAGCCTCCCTGAACATCTTCATTAGAGAAATTATCTGTTCTATTACACTTCTGAACTTCATACTTCCTCTCGTAACTGGGCCTGGCCTGTTCGCTCCTGGGCTCTACAAAGGAAGGCCCCAGGTCCCCGAAATCTTCTTCGATGCTGCTTTGTCTGGTCAAGGTTTTCCTGCGCGCCAGCGACGGCCTCGTGCTCTTCCTGCAGGAGCAGTGAGCGGCCTCTGCACAGCAGCGAGGGGCCACGGGGGCAGAAACTGCCTCACAAGTGTGTCTGAAACTGAAACGAGACTCCTCCTCTTCACTGCCACAGTCCAGGCCACTGTCTGGGCTCCTCGAGAGGGACCGGCTGTACTTGCATCCTTTGTCGTCCGCGCCAAAATCCTCCCCGCCTGAAATCCTGTGCTTGGCCGGGTACCAGAAGTTGTGCTGCTGGTCTTGATTGTAGGGCCTAGGTGCTCTAGAGTCTCTAGCTATTTTGGGGTTCTTTTTATAGGGCATACCTAAACCCTGCTTGTACAGCAGTTCAGAGTATTCCCCGTCCTCTTCAGCTACTTCTGGAATACTGAAAAGCTTTTTACTGTGGTGTATCTGCTGTGAAAAGTCAGGCTGTTCCAAAAAAGTGGCTTCAGTGGTCTTATCGCACTCCTTAAAGAGTATGTAATGTTAAAAAACCAGACAGGGAACAAATAGTGTGTGACAAAAATAAAATGGGAGGGAAAAGGGAGAAGAAAAGAAAAATAAAGACAGAATTAGTTTTAGAGCAATGGTAAACATAAGACATGCAGCTTATTTAGTGAAAAGGATGTCATGCTTTGAATGAGAATCTGTGAAAAATAAAGGCATGGTTAAGAAGTTGCTGGGTGTCAGGTACAACATGAGAGGTCGGTAGAAACAACTGAGTGATGCTCTTAACAAGAATAAACTCATGCATTTAAAACAAAGCAGTAAAAGCCATACAGGTTCCAGCATGGTGAATGAGAATGGCATTAAAACACGTTCCTTGCACCATGCCAAATTGCTATTTAATTTTTCTTTGGAACCAGAACCCATATCTGAGAAGGACAAGTCTGCTCTAGCAAGCTTTCTTGCTTTGCATCTGTTAAAGCATCCTGTGTAAGCAGCAAATATCTTAAATCTCCTGACAGAGGAGAGCAATTCTGCAGACATCATTAAAGGCGTTCTAGTTTCCTTTCTAAAATTCTAAAAAACCTGCACCATTTTTAAAGCTTGGCTTGCACAGAAAGACCCCTGAGAAGCAGGAAGCTCTCTGATGTCACTTGGTCTGCACTGTCATCAAATCTCTCATCATAATCTTGCACCTGCTTGATAAAACCAAGATTTGAAAATCAACCAATTAGCAGAAGTAAGTAAGAGTCTCTGTTTACATTAGAAGTAGGTAAAAACTATCCCAGCCTGGGAAAAAGAAGCATTCTGAACACGACAGACATGTTTTTGTAATTTTTCCAATTCCATTTACACAAAACACAGGTTGGTCTGACAGATGAATCCTGTGAGTGTCTTTGCTGGACTCTGAGAAGAGACAAGAGAAGACAATGCAGGAGGTGTTGGTTTTGACTGACAGGGTTTGTTGATTCTACCCCCCAGAGATCATCTCTCCTTGTACTTAATGCCCAGACCAGGGAGATCTCTGGTCACAAGAGCACCCATAAATGACAGGATCATCCTGGAGATTTCAGCAGTTCTCTCTCTCTCTGAGCGTGTTAAACTTAACTGGGTCTTGGATGTTGTCCCCTTTCAGGCATTAGGAACTTTCTCATTTCACCTGTTTTCATTCCTTTTTGAAATGTGTATCACACTTGTGAAACAAGACAAACTGCCATAAAAGTGGAAAAACAAATCAGAATGAACAATGATAGTTTTGATAAGCTGCTGCATCAAGAGAAGCACACCTGTAAACCTTAACAGTCTAAAATTATTTAATGCCCCAGTTAATGTTCTGGCCCTTTCTTTCTGAATATCAACACTGGCAATACTAATTTAAAACAAAGAAATAAATATACTTTCTGATGCATAAAGAACAAGAGCAGTCTAGGGATAATTCTCTTTTTCCCAGTGGAAAGGGACAGAAGCAGCATGCTGAAGGATTTCACTTTCAACCTTTATGTTAGCAGAACAATAGAAATACTGATTATTTCTTCTTTTGAAAAAGTACCTGTCTCATTGCAGATAGCATCAGAATAAAAAGAATGAATTTATAGCACATGAAAGCAGTTACAAGAATGGTCAAAGTGCTTGTATGCATGAAATTGATTTTAGTTAAATAACAGGGTCTTGAAAAAAAGTTGACCTCTGTGTTTGTGCTAAGAAAACACAATTTGTGTGATTACTACAGACATAAAAAACCAAATACAATTTACATGTACAAATATAATATGGGAACTACGTATTTGGCATTGGGTAAGTCCAATATCCTACTTATGCTTTAATTGTTATAATAAAGTTGTCTTTCATGATGAATAGTCCTGTGTAGTGTTAAGACAATATCTCTGATGGGTATTTCCTGCTGTCTCTGGTGATTTTTTATATCCCTCTGGTGATTCCTTAATAATCAGCAGAGCACAAGGATTTCTGATAATGCATTGATCAAACAAAGCTAATCCAACTCCCTTTCTTACAAGAATCCTTTAGAGCCTGGGAAGAAATGGGACTAGCACTGGAAACAGGGACATGAAAAACATACATTGTCTTCTTGGTATGTACATAATTTTTATACATCTCCTTGCTCAGAAACAGCTCATTTTCTGGGTAGCACATGCAGCAAATCTTCAGATAGACATGGGAGAGGAAAACAGTCAATTAGTTAAAAGATTAGCTATCCAACAATGAAGGAAAAAGAAAGGAATAACTGCATTAAAGCGGCCCAGCTCTAGGTCTATACGAGTTTTAATGGTCTGCAAAATCCATAACTGACTACAAGAAATGCTTTGAAGGAAGAATCAAAACCTGGGGGTGCTCCTGAGAGTTCCCTGCAGCCACACTTACCTTGAGGGCGTTGTGGGAGCTCACACTGACTCGCCGCCTCCCTCCATCCTCCAGCTGCATTTCGGAGTAAAGCTCTTCCTCATCTTCCTCCATAATGTCAGACAGGTCCGAGCCTCTGCTGCTCTCTGTGTGATACTCCTCCCCGTGGCAATAGTGAGGCTGATTCACAAGGGGAGAGAGAAAGGTCTTTACTGCCTGTAGAGCTGAAAATCCTCAGATAACCCACCGAGGACCAGAGCACTTCCTAGGTTTGAATGTCACGCTGATAACCACGTATAAATTACATCCCGTGGCTTGCTGCTCAGTTCTACTGGAGAGATCCTGCCTGAAGTTTGTTTTGGCCATTTATGGTCCTAATTCAAGAAATCCAGTCTTAATCCCAGGTGATACATGAAAGGATATCTCCATTCCCAGCACCAAATCTAGTCTTAGTCTTGATTAAATTCCCCTGATTTAAAGAGGTCCTTCATGCATCAGTGGACTTGCTGACCAAATTGTAAAAGCCCTAGGATAATTCACATATCATCTGTTCTTCACAGCTGTTTCTTACATCACATTATAATTTAAAAGTGATCAGCATTTAATTCTTGCAGGATGTTACCACCGTTGTATGATATAAGTAGCTGATGACATTTGAAGCTTCAATTTTTTTAAACATTGTAGAAATAGACTAAAACACTGGAAATTTGGGGCATTGTTCATACATTTGTAGCTGCTTGAACATCTATAATAAACAGAACCAAAATTCCAGAACATCTCAGAACTGGCACAAGAAGGAGTGGTGTTGCTTGGACCCTTCCACATGGGAGGTCACATATTTGGCTAAAAAGCTTATTTGACTATGCCAAGACATAAGAAAATATCTCTTCTCTAGAATTTACATTTCTCTTGACAGTAATGTAATAAATTAGTTTATATTTCTTTTCAGTGGGATCGAACTAAAAGCTGTGCAGCCGTGCAAAATTCTTCTGGCAACACCTTTCCATTCCTTACAGCGTGTCAAGCATAGAGGATTTTGGCTTTCTGTAATTAGGTTATTAGCTTACAGGTTGTGGCTTTTATGGAACGCAGAAACTCTTCCCACTTCCCCTTTTCCACAGCATTTTTTCATATGCAGTAGTGACACCACACTGAAAGGCCCAGAACCCAAACATGACAGTCCAGTCACATTTGCTATTTCAGCTTTTCCATCTTCATTTTTTCAGTTTCCACTGCTCAAACCTGCTGCTTGGGCTGATGGGCTGGAGGTGCCTGGTGCATTCAGCTCCCATCAGGCAGTGTCACGCTGCAGGAACAGGACACACATCTCCCTCCCCAAGAATTCCTGCTTGTCTGTACAGTTTACCAACACAGCCACAATAATCAGGAGGTGACCTGGACAGCCTGCTGAGCTTCAGAAAGTGCTTGTTTTATGTCAAACACCTGACACGATGACGAAACCAGGCTACTTACTTGCTTTCCAAGTTCTGACCCTTTTAGGAAATCATCCACTGAAGCTCCCCTTCTTTTGACATTGGGAGAATCATAGCCATCCTCCTCCTCATCAGAGTTGGCATACTGGGCACTGCTCCTGTCGCTGAACACACTCCTCCTCTCCATCTAGCAAGGCAACAAAAAAATGGAAAATTGTGAAGCAGACTCCCTCCTGCCAGCAGAAGAAGAAATGGCAAATATAAGAACTCAAGCACACGCCATTTAAATGTCCTCATGGTTAGAGCAATGCTGGTTTCCCCGACTGGAATCTTTAAGAATTTTTTGCTTATCATATTCCTCTGGCTCATAAACAATTACATGATTCTCTGTGATCATCAACTCATCTGCTCTCTTCCCTGTACCACTTATGTCAAAATTCTCAGTATTCTACAGTCAGAGGCTGCTAACAAAGACACTAATTTCCCCTTGGCAGAGAGTCAGTGGATGAACTCAGCACAAAAAAAGCTTTAGAATGAGGCTCTGGGCTCTTCCTCTGCTCTGAGGTGACTCCTGGCCTCAGTTACTAATTCCTGCTGCTTACTCTCCTGACAATAACCCTCAGCCATCTAACAGGCTGGATGAGGGCAGGGAGAAGGCACACAGCTTCTGCAGCAGCTTACCACAGGGGAAGAATTTCTACTACAGGGGACTAAACATGACAAATATCACTATCAGGATTTGATTTAATTTAGAATGAATTCATCTGTAAACTTCTGTCCACATTCCTGAATTAAATATTTCAAGCATCACTTAAATTAATGTAATTAAACATGGTTCAGAGTATTTGTTATGTCAGCATTTTCCAAACTAGAAAAAGTATTTCTATTATCTTTCCCTATATAGTTCTTAAATCAACTTTCACCTCTGAGAGCCCAAGAAAAAATTTTTTCCTTCTACTACATTTATTCCAGTTTTCTTTCTTTATAAACAAAAGGAAGATACATACACATGCATACTTATGTATTTATCAGACATTATTGATCCAGAATTACTCAGGTTCTCAAAAGCTGGCTCAATTCACCCACTGGCTCAAAACAGGGACAGTCAGTAAGCTGGGGCTGTTAAGATACGTGTGAACTGTCAAAATTAATGGAGTTATTTTGGACATATGATGGGAGACCACAAACTGGACATAAGTGATGACTGCTGGATGAAGGACCACAAGGGTGTATGAAATAAGTGACTCCACAGCTTGTAAAAAGTAACAGACAGTTGTGAGCAGCTTGTGATGAGAAAGTCACTGCCCAGGGCACTGGGAGTGTTTAAATATTGCATACTTGTGTAGAAAAACCAGAGCATGTTGTCAGGATGCATAGACATCAGCTGTACTGACCCTTGAGCCTCAAATATAGGATTTAAATTAACTAGCAAACATCTGAGTCACTGCAGCAGCCATGGGTCCAAACCAGGCAGTGTCCTTTGGGCAGTGATGCTGTTAGCAGCTATAGGAGGAGCTGCAACGAAAAGCAGTTGTGAACATCTGTGAAAATGTGACACTGAGAAGGGCAAATATGTAAAACTGCCTGTGGGATCCACGACAGCAGACACAACAGTGCTTTACATGCACAGAATTTCAGCACACTGCTTCGTCTCCAACTACGGACCCTCAGAGCTCAGGAATGAATTATCTGCCCCCTAAAGCACGTGACGAAAAAAAACCTTTTGGTGGGAAGCGCCACAATGAATAAAAGCAACCCGAAAGAAGCCCTGAGAGAAAAAGTTTGCCTTTACCCTGTTGCTCTCTGCAACCCTTTGTGCAGCTTCTCTGGCCATGGCTTTCGCGACGGTGTTTGGGATGGGTGTGCCTTGGGGCTGGGGGAGGATCCTGTTGGGGGATGGAGACCTCCTCCCGTGGCTGTGGAAGCTGGGGGGCTCAAGTGTGTGTCCGTGAACGGGGGACGCCGAACGAGTCTGCTCCCACGACTCATCCCTTTTTAAGTGGGGACCTAAATGTTCTTCTTTGGTTTCTGGGGCTCCGGCACTTGCTAATGGCTTAGATTTGGGAGCAGTTCTGGGGTGAGGGGTTGGAGGCACCAGGAGGTCGGGTGGAATGGCAGCAACAGAAGAGTCCACTGATTCCCCTTGTGCAGAGAGCGTTCGAACAGTGACTTCCCTCGCTTCCAAACTCCTCAGTCTCAGCAGCTCCACCAGTGTGTTCTCTGCTGTTGGGAAGATCACCTCTGCCACCTGAGAGCACAAACAAACAACTCATGAGCATGGAAACATCTGCCTCCCTCCCCTCAGCCCCACTAAAGGACAACCTTCAAAGTCTTAACATGGAGTGAACTATTGCCAACCCCAGCACCAGTTGTCTTTAATCCTTTCAACCCCTTTGTCCAAAATCTGAAGTTTTTGGTTTTTTTTCTCCAAAAGCTGAAGTGTCTGTAGAAAGGAAGCTCATGAGCAAGTTGTGCACAAGGGTGCAAAAGAACAGGGTCTCCTGAAAACTGAGTGAGAACCCCCTGCAGGCATCCAAGGGCTGTCACATCTTTCTTGCTGCCTTTACCTGTTGGAATTCCCCCAGAGCAGATGGTCCCTGTAGTGCTGGAAGGAGAACTCACCCGTTGCCCTCTCGCATAAACACCGTAACCTGTGACGTTGGCGCCGTGGGAGGTCCCCGTGGCCGACAGAGTCGGGGGCTTCCAGGACACCTGGATGGTCCCCGGGGTGGACCCAGCCCGGACAGCAACATCTTGAGGTGGAGCTGGAGGACCTGAGGAAGATGGGACAGGTCACTGTGGCTGGAAACTACAGATCTCAAAGCACTTTTTATTTTTATTTTTTTTTAATTTTTCAGAAGACAAAGTATCCTAGTTGTGGTTGTTTTGTAAGAGCAGAAGCACGGGCTCAGCAGGTCACAGAGCCAGAACTGACCCTCACTTTACAAGCATTAACTGAACTGTACTCCTTTTCAAGGTGGTCTGTACTTGCACCTTGGTCTGGATCTGTTTTTAACCCTCCAGGCTGCATAACTGATACTCTGAATGCAGGATGTGCTAGCAGAAAAACAGAGTGAGAAAAAGGCCCAGGATAGGCACTGTTAGTGGAAAACTGCTGCACGTGACAGCAAATTACATTTTGAGATATATGTCTGTGCTGAATGCACACTACATACTCTGAAATCACTTTCAAATCCTGTCTCTCTGGACCATCAGTGGCTCCAAGTCCCAATTTAAGGGCCAGAAGCACAGTGAACTAGGGTGCAATGTGAACTGCAAGCTGAAAATTCAACATTTTCCACCAGCAGCATGCTGGTTAAAGGACAACTGATCTCACAGTCTTTCCTCTGCACTGAAGAAAAAAAAAAATGCATCCACTAACCTCTTAAGGCATTTCCAGTATGTTAGTGTAATAGCACACCAAATACATCCTTAATTAAAAGACATTACCCTACTATAAATAGTTCTACTGCGGCCAGAAAGCCAAAGTAAAAATACCATAGAGATTATTAGTTCATAAATTTTTCAAGCATCCTGTTGTGCTAATTTAACAGCCAAACCCTGAGAAATGTCTCGTGTTAAAACATCTCAGAAGGAGGGTTCAGCAAGCTCTGCAGAACAGCCAGGAGAATACAAACCTCGAGTTTGCTTTTCCCAGTGAACTAAGCACAACCAGTTCCTGTTCATCTACCAAAAAGGCCACAAATATTTCAGCTGTGTGCCTGATACATGTGTAAAATACCACACAAGTCTCAGCCAGTTTGCTGGCAAACTGCCAGTGCATTTCACTGGTTTGCTGTCACTGAATTTCGTTCTCCAGAGGGCATGGAAATAAAATTATGGTCATGTTCAGGACAGCATGGGCACAACAGGAAATTTTTGCTTGTACCATCCCCTGCACCTATAATGTATTTTTAACTTGCAAGTCCGAAGTATGCAAATTGACCTAAGACTATTTTTGGCCAAGACAGATTTTGGTCTAGGATTGAATTTCAGCTTTCCTAACCATCCTGTTTTATTGACAGCCAGCATTCCCAATCCAGCAAGGCTGCTGAGCTTACAAGACAGAATGCATCTGATCTAACCCACTGTCTTGTCAGTGACAATGACATTAATCTGCTCCTGCAGGAGAAGTCACCTTCCTTCCATTCTCCCACAACTAAACAATCCCCAGGGAGTGTGTCTCGACCTTCAGAGACTCTGGCAGGGACAGGTTTAATAAAGTGTGATGCCCAAGGCTTAGCATGGTTTCTATTTTCCCCCATCATTAAATGGGAAATTATTCTTGATGACTTGTGATGGTCTTGGCCATCAACATGAATGTTTGTTTTGGAATTCTGCCCTACTTTGGTCCTCATGGGGTTTTTCACATAAATTAGCTCAAAACCAATAACAGTCCCACGGGTCCTGATCCTCTACTTATTTCTATTTTTGGATCTGAGCGTCCAAGAGAGAGAACTACTTCTATTTTAATTTAAGCAATTCCAATGCTTTGATGAATCAAGAAAATCAAATTTCAATGCTTTGATGAATCAATTGGTCAGCTGTCAATCGGCTTTGGTCTCACAGGAAGCAATGTGTTTTCAGTATAAATCATGCTAAACATGATATATTTATGCAAAGAGAAAAAAAGAAAAGATGACCCCTAATTGCCCTGCACTTTTCACACAACTGCTCTCTATAGCTTTGAAATGTGAGCAGTTCCCTCAAGACCATTTTTGCTTATTATACTCCAAAAAAACCCTGAGTTTGATACAGTGTGAAAATATTAAAATATTCCCTGATCCCCACTCCTTTTTTGGGATAAGTGGCTGATGACATCCTTTTCTGTAAGGATATCACCTAACCCACTAGTAAAGGCCAGAGCTTCTCAGCTTCGAATAAAATGAGCACTGGAGGTATTTAAGGAGGAAAAATAATCCAGTCTGAGAAAAAGAACCAGCATTAGTCACTTAATTTCTTTCTTTTAACTGTGGTTTGAAAGAAGAAAGATGTGCTTACTCGAAGCCAGCAGTATTTGCAAGACAAAACCATGACACACTGTGATGGTTAACTCCCATCATTGACTTATTTCATGGGCATCCTTTCCCTTTGTTCCAATAACTTCTGAAATACAGGCATAGGCCTCTAATAACTTCAACTGTTGCTATTTTATTTTGCTATAAAACAGTGAAAAGTTGACATGCTTCTGTAAAAATGCTCCCTGTGCAATGAAGGGGTGGGGAAGACTCTGGGTTTAAAAGATGAGGCTTCACTGCATTTCAGCTCCCCAGCAGAGAACAGCTCAGGCACTGCTTAGCACACTCCAGCAACTAGAGGGAGATGCAGCACGTTCAGTGTTTGAAAAATACCTCACTCCAAAGGCCTTTCCCAATCAGTAAAGAAGCTGACAGATGTAATAAGTTCAAGCCAGCATCCAGGCAGTGCCTCCCAGCTGCCCCAGAACACATTCCAGGTTGGAGATGCCCCCCTCCCACAGGTTCTACAACAGCACCACCACTCACTTCACTGACATGATTCCAGACAAAAGAGTAAATGTGTGAGCTGAGGATGTTTCTACTGAAACTATGAATCAACAGCATCAAAAAGAGGAGACATATGAGCTTAATTCCCTGTCTACTCAGCCAGCACGGTTGTCCTGCCTGTCTCCTCACATAAATAAAAGCCATACAAGCCAAGGAAGAGACCAGAATTAATTCTTGCCCCTTTGCTGGAATCAAATCCCGGCAGGGAGTGAAGGAACCACAGCTCAGTACATGCTACTGACATTCCACTCGCCAGGAGCCACTTGTGCTTGTCTGTCCCTGCTCCAGAGGCACTCAGGGATCTGAAAGACTGAATGGATAAGGAGTCTCCTACTTGTCCTTGATTAGATGACTTGGATAGGTAAATATATAAGGACACATGTTCAATTTTTTTCAGGGATATTGCCATATACCCCCAAAATCATGAGATTATCCTTTAATTCACTACATTCTTTCTGCTCCAGTTTTCAACACCACTTCAGTGTTCTTAAATAGTGGGAAATGACTGGCAAGGCTTGCCACCATTCCTAATGTAAAAGCCAGGTGGGGAAAAAAACCTCAGACTATCCAAAACAAAATAGATTTGTTGACTTTACAGGTTCAAATTGTACAATGTGATTACAACTTCCCAACCAAAATACATTTACGTCCCCCAAGTGACTCTGTGGTCCTCTAAGAGGTTTGTGTTGTTTTTCATTAGAGAAAATGTTAAAAGTGCTTTAAGACACACACATAACAAAAAAATGACATGTCAGAAGTAAAAACTGTTTTTTCTCCCAGCGTTGTTCACACCAATGAGAATAAATTACTACCAGAAATATTATAACTGGACAAACGAAATACAAATGGAGATTAATCTGATAAAACACTTAGCGTGTTATCTGAGATGATGATCTGGAGTTTATCTCCCAAAAATGTATCTGTCCTTACCCAGGAGTGAAGAAAACAATAATGCAGGACAGGAATTAATTTTAAATAGCATAAAGCAATCTAATAATCCCCAGTCTGCTCACAAAAGTGACAGGGATTAGAGCAGGAAGCCAAAGGTTAAATTATTTTATCTAGTATTTTCAGAGAAACTTAACTGGAGAGTTTTGGGGTAGGGAGAAAAATATCAAACCTGCTGGCAATGTAGAAAATTCCACAAAGGCTTCCTTTTTTTCTCGTTGTTCCAAGGGAAGCTGCCAGGGCATCTGGTGGGGCTTTGCCATGACCTTCACCTTGTAGGCCATATTGGGCTTCAAATTAAAAAAATGGTACTTGTAGCTAGCAGCCTTGACAATGTCAAACTCTTCTTCATTGAGGAAGATGACGTGACTGTAATTACTGTTTGTAGGGAGCCAGGACAGCTCAGCAGAAATCTGGGTTATATTGTCCACTTTCAGATTGGAGGGGGCTACTATGACATCCTTCCCCACTAGCAGAGTGCACTGCAGCTCGTCGGAGTTGCCCTTGTTGGTGATGCTCTGGATGGATATTCTGTATGTGCAGGCAGAAATGTTGAGCTTTTCTATGAGAGCTTTCGTTCTGCTCCCCAAGGCGACGTTCATCCGGATTTCCTTGTCGACCAGGACGTTGTAGCTGCTGATGGTTCCCCAGCCGGGTGGCACTACTGGTGGCTCCCAGCCCACAATGACACTTTTGGCTAGTTGTTTGATAAGGGTGATTTTTCTAGGATAAGGCACAATGTCTTCTCCAATTTCATCAATGTTCACATCCAGAGTCCCTGCGCCGTTGCTGATGACGCCGGAGTCTATGTGACTTGGTGGACTTATCTCCAAGAGATCTCCTTCCAAAGCAGGACCCGAGTGGTTGATAAAATTCTGATCTTGTTCGCTGCTTAATGTGCTTGATAACCGGGTCTCGTTGTCTTGAACAAAATCCACAAAGTTTGAAGGGACTAGTCCTCTTTGTCCATCCAGAAGTTCTCCTGGTGAGGAAGAGCAATGCCATTAAAATCCTTGGAGGAGGACACCTCTTTCATGCCCATGCCTTGAGAGCGGACAGGACAAGGAAGAAGGATGGAGTGCAAACCCTACATAAACAACATTCACAGCTTGAGAACGTGAAGGGGAACACCAGAACTGCCAGCAAGCTTTCCTGTCAACTTCAATCTTGCCAGCAGGAAAAGCTGACACTATAAAATATCTTATAATTAGCTTTGCCTGCAAGGAGCGGCTTTGCCGGTGCAGAAACTCTGTTAATTAACAGAGCGATGATAAGGGTAATTTTAGCAACTGATTTAGTGGTAGACTAAGAAGGAAAGAATTTGGAGCGTGTTTGACAGACGGACTGATTTCGATCTGCATGAATTAGCATGAATTCACAGACTGGAAAAAGAAAAAAATACCTTCATAGAAGCCATCTTCATCCATGTCTCCGTACACGTAAAGGTACTTTCCTGCCGTAAGAGGGAGCTCTGCCTCTGGATTTTCGTTTGGTCCATCGAAAGGGTTGTAACTGCAGGGAGCACAGGAACAGCACTGATCAGGGGGAGGTGGACAGCTCTAAGGCTTATTTTTTTAAAACGAATTAAAAGGAACTCGGTTGTGGGGGGTCTTTTCCAGCCCNCATTAACTGAACTGTACTCCTTTTCAAGGTGGTCTGTACTTGCACCTTGGTCTGGATCTGTTTTTAACCCTCCAGGCTGCATAACTGATACTCTGAATGCAGGATGTGCTAGCAGAAAAACAGAGTGAGAAAAAGGCCCAGGATAGGCACTGTTAGTGGAAAACTGCTGCACGTGACAGCAAATTACATTTTGAGATATATGTCTGCGCTGAATGCACACTACATACTCTGAAATCACTTTCAAATCCTGTCTCTCTGGACCATCAGTGGCTCCAAGTCCCAATTTAAGGGCCAGAAGCACAGTGAACTAGGGTGCAATGTGAACTGCAAGCTGAAAATTCAACATTTTCCACCAGCAGCATGCTGGTTAAAGGACAACTGATCTCACAGTCTTTCCTCTGCACTGAAGAAAAAAAAAAATGCATCCACTAACCTCTTAAGGCATTTCCAGTATGTTAGTGTAATAGCACACCAAATACATCCTTAATTAAAAGACATTACCCTACTATAAATAGTTCTACTGCGGCCAGAAAGCCAAAGTAAAAATACCATAGAGATTATTAGTTCATAAATTTTTCAAGCATCCTGTTGTGCTAATTTAACAGCCAAACCCTGAGAAATGTCTCGTGTTAAAACATCTCAGAAGGAGGGTTCAGCAAGCTCTGCAGAACAGCCAGGAGAATACAAACCTCGAGTTTGCTTTTCCCAGTGAACTAAGCACAACCAGTTCCTGTTCATCTACCAAAAAGGCCACAAATATTTCAGCTGTGTGCCTGATACATGTGTAAAATACCACACAAGTCTCAGCCAGTTTGCTGGCAAACTGCCAGTGCATTTCACTGGTTTGCTGTCACTGAATTTCGTTCTCCAGAGGGCATGGAAATAAAATTATGGTCATGTTCAGGACAGCATGGGCACAACAGGAAATTTTTGCTTGTACCATCCCCTGCACCTATAATGTATTTTTAACTTGCAAGTCCGAAGTATGCAAATTGACCTAAGACTATTTTTGGCCAAGACAGATTTTGGTCTAGGATTGAATTTCAGCTTTCCTAACCATCCTGTTTTATTGACAGCCAGCATTCCCAATCCAGCAAGGCTGCTGAGCTTACAAGACAGAATGCATCTGATCTAACCCACTGTCTTGTCAGTGACAATGACATTAATCTGCTCCTGCAGGAGAAGTCACCTTCCTTCCATTCTCCCACAACTAAACAATCCCCAGGGAGTGTGTCTCGACCTTCAGAGACTCTGGCAGGGACAGGTTTAATAAAGTGTGATGCCCAAGGCTTAGCATGGTTTCTATTTTCCCCCATCATTAAATGGGAAATTATTCTTGATGACTTGTGATGGTCTTGGCCATCAACATGAATGTTTGTTTTGGAATTCTGCCCTACTTTGGTCCTCATGGGGTTTTTCACATAAATTAGCTCAAAACCAATAACAGTCCCACGGGTCCTGATCCTCTACTTATTTCTATTTTTGGATCTGAGCGTCCAAGAGAGAGAACTACTTCTATTTTAATTTAAGCAATTCCAATGCTTTGATGAATCAAGAAAATCAAATTTCAATGCTTTGATGAATCAATTGGTCAGCTGTCAATCGGCTTTGGTCTCACAGGAAGCAATGTGTTTTCAGTATAAATCATGCTAAACATGATATATTTATGCAAAGAGAAAAAAAGAAAAGATGACCCCTAATTGCCCTGCACTTTTCACACAACTGCTCTCTATAGCTTTGAAATGTGAGCAGTTCCCTCAAGACCATTTTTGCTTATTATACTCCAAAAAAACCCTGAGTTTGATACAGTGTGAAAATATTAAAATATTCCCTGATCCCCACTCCTTTTTTGGGATAAGTGGCTGATGACATCCTTTTCTGTAAGGATATCACCTAACCCACTAGTAAAGGCCAGAGCTTCTCAGCTTCGAATAAAATGAGCACTGGAGGTATTTAAGGAGGAAAAATAATCCAGTCTGAGAAAAAGAACCAGCATTAGTCACTTAATTTCTTTCTTTTAACTGTGGTTTGAAAGAAGAAAGATGTGCTTACTCGAAGCCAGCAGTATTTGCAAGACAAAACCATGACACACTGTGATGGTTAACTCCCATCATTGACTTATTTCATGGGCATCCTTTCCCTTTGTTCCAATAACTTCTGAAATACAGGCATAGGCCTCTAATAACTTCAACTGTTGCTATTTTATTTTGCTATAAAACAGTGAAAAGTTGACATGCTTCTGTAAAAATGCTCCCTGTGCAATGAAGGGGTGGGGAAGACTCTGGGTTTAAAAGATGAGGCTTCACTGCATTTCAGCTCCCCAGCAGAGAACAGCTCAGGCACTGCTTAGCACACTCCAGCAACTAGAGGGAGATGCAGCACGTTCAGTGTTTGAAAAATACCTCACTCCAAAGGCCTTTCCCAATCAGTAAAGAAGCTGACAGATGTAATAAGTTCAAGCCAGCATCCAGGCAGTGCCTCCCAGCTGCCCCAGAACACATTCCAGGTTGGAGATGCCCCCCTCCCACAGGTTCTACAACAGCACCACCACTCACCTCACTGACATGATTCCAGACAAAAGAGTAAATGTGTGAGCTGAGGATGTTTCTACTGAAACTATGAATCAACAGCATCAAAAAGAGGAGACATATGAGCTTAATTCCCTGTCTACTCAGCCAGCACGGTTGTCCTGCCTGTCTCCTCACATAAATAAAAGCCATACAAGCCAAGGAAGAGACCAGAATTAATTCTTGCCCCTTTGCTGGAATCAAATCCCGGCAGGGAGTGAAGGAACCACAGCTCAGTACATGCTACTGACATTCCACTCGCCAGGAGCCACTTGTGCTTGTCTGTCCCTGCTCCAGAGGCACTCAGGGATCTGAAAGACTGAATGGATAAGGAGTCTCCTACTTGTCCTTGATTAGATGACTTGGATAGGTAAATATATAAGGACACATGTTCAATTTTTTTCAGGGATATTGCCATATACCCCCAAAATCATGAGATTATCCTTTAATTCACTACATTCTTTCTGCTCCAGTTTTCAACACCACTTCAGTGTTCTTAAATAGTGGGAAATGACTGGCAAGGCTTGCCACCATTCCTAATGTAAAAGCCAGGTGGGGAAAAAAACCTCAGACTATCCAAAACAAAATAGATTTGTTGACTTTACAGGTTCAAATTGTACAATGTGATTACAACTTCCCAACCAAAATACATTTACGTCCCCCAAGTGACTCTGTGGTCCTCTAAGAGGTTTGTGTTGTTTTTCATTAGAGAAAATGTTAAAAGTGCTTTAAGACACACACATAACAAAAAAATGACATGTCAGAAGTAAAAACTGTTTTTTCTCCCAGCGTTGTTCACACCAATGAGAATAAATTACTACCAGAAATATTATAACTGGACAAACGAAATACAAATGGAGATTAATCTGATAAAACACTTAGCGTGTTATCTGAGATGATGATCTGGAGTTTATCTCCCAAAAATGTATCTGTCCTTACCCAGGAGTGAAGAAAACAATAATGCAGGACAGGAATTAATTTTAAATAGCATAAAGCAATCTAATAATCCCCAGTCTGCTCACAAAAGTGACAGGGATTAGAGCAGGAAGCCAAAGGTTAAGTTATTTGACCTAGTATTTTCAGAGAAACTTAACTGGAGAGTTTTGGGGTAGGGAGAAAAATATCAAACCTGCTGGCAATGTAGAAAATTCCACAAAGGCTTCCTTTTTTTCTCGTTGTTCCAAGGGAAGCTGCCAGGGCATCTGGTGGGGCTTTGCCATGACCTTCACCTTGTAGGCCATATTGGGCTTCAAATTAAAAAAATGGTACTTGTAGCTAGCAGCCTTGACAATGTCAAACTCTTCTTCATTGAGGAAGATGACGTGACTGTAATTACTGTTTGTAGGGAGCCAGGACAGCTCAGCAGAAATCTGGGTTATATTGTCCACTTTCAGATTGGAGGGGGCTACTATGACATCCTTCCCCACTAGCAGAGTGCACTGCAGCTCGTCGGAGTTGCCCTTGTTGGTGATGCTCTGGATGGATATTCTGTATGTGCAGGCAGAAATGTTGAGCTTTTCTATGAGAGCTTTCGTTCTGCTCCCCAAGGCGACGTTCATCCGGATTTCCTTGTCGACCAGGACGTTGTAGCTGCTGATGGTTCCCCAGCCGGGTGGCACTACTGGTGGCTCCCAGCCCACAATGACACTTTTGGCTAGTTGTTTGATAAGGGTGATTTTTCTAGGATAAGGCACAATGTCTTCTCCAATTTCATCAATGTTCACATCCAGAGTCCCTGCGCCGTTGCTGATGACGCCGGAGTCTATGTGACTTGGTGGACTTATCTCCAAGAGATCTCCTTCCAAAGCAGGACCCGAGTGGTTGATAAAATTCTGATCTTGTTCGCTGCTTAATGTGCTTGATAACCGGGTCTCGTTGTCTTGAACAAAATCCACAAAGTTTGAAGGGACTAGTCCTCTTTGTCCATCCAGAAGTTCTCCTGGTGAGGAAGAGCAATGCCATTAAAATCCTTGGAGGAGGACACCTCTTTCATGCCCATGCCTTGAGAGCGGACAGGACAAGGAAGAAGGATGGAGTGCAAACCCTACATAAACAACATTCACAGCTTGAGAACGTGAAGGGGAACACCAGAACTGCCAGCAAGCTTTCCTGTCAACTTCAATCTTGCCAGCAGGAAAAGCTGACACTATAAAATATCTTATAATTAGCTTTGCCTGCAAGGAGCGGCTTTGCCGGTGCAGAAACTCTGTTAATTAACAGAGCGATGATAAGGGTAATTTTAGCAACTGATTTAGTGGTAGACTAAGAAGGAAAGAATTTGGAGCGTGTTTGACAGACGGACTGATTTCGATCTGCAT